AAACGGCTCGAAAGCTGCTCATGTATATATACATCAGGCAATAAACATCATGAGAAAAAACAACTCATTTACCTGATGCAAAGAAGATAAAGAAGTCTGATATTTGCTCGCTTGTTAGCAGACCACATTCGTAACTGCTCGTCGAGTATTTGCATTTCATTTTGCACCTGTCGAGATTTTTAAAATTTAACAGATTAAACGGTTTTTCTTCGCATGCTTAATTCAGTTTCAAAACCTATTTCTTTAATCGCAAGACGTTCACCTACTTAATTTTCTTATTTAACAACCGTATATTGTTCCTATTATTCGTAATTAAGCTGCCCTATTATTTGTTGAAAATTAAACTTGATTTATAAGTTATAATATTGTATTTTAAGAATTATCTAGAGAATGTGGTAGATTACATTGTGTAGAATAATCTAAGAATAAAAATTATGACATGTGTAGAAGTATGTACAATATATTAGAGTAGAAAAATCTAGAAAAAGTGAATTATGTGGCATAGACTAGAAGCTTCCACCTTCTCCAAGATTACCTATAAATATCCCATGTGTGATGTAAAGTGAACTGATGAGAAATAAAAAAGTTTCTACCTCCTTGCAATAAAATCTTAGTCTAGCCATCATCTTTACACTACTCACTTTACTCAAAATTAACATACACAATATATAGTATATATTAGGGCTGAGCATGAGATTCGGAGAATTTCGAACTGTTCCGAAAATCGAACTGAAATCACTCCGAACCAAAAATAACCGTTGACCATTTGACTTTCTCCGAACCGAACCGATCAGAAAAAATAATTGGTACGGTTCTGGAGATTTCACAAATATCTGTACCGAGAACTGAACCGAACTGTCCTGTACTATACCGAACGGAAGAACCGAATTATAACATTAAATGTGTTATTAAAATATTTTATTTGAATTTTAAATTTTCGATATTATTTGCACAAATTTAATTATAACTAAAATTTAGGGTTACTTATAAAGTTGATTTCAAAATGAAATCTTTAATGTGAGGAAGTACTGATGAATGTTAGTTTTATTAAAGCATATATAAATTAAATAACTAATATAGAGCTACTTCTAGAATTGATTTCAAAATAAAATCTTCAATATGATGAATTATTGATGAATGTTATTTTTTAAAGCATATAAAAATTAAAATATAACTAGGTAGTCATTCAAAAATAATTTTAAAAAAAACTCCGAAGATCCGAACCAAACCATACTGAACTGAACCGTCCCAATAGTTCTGAATACCACACCGAACTGAACCGAAAAATAAGAATTTCCAAACCGAACCGAACCGAATTGACTTTTTGGTACGGTTTCGGAGATCGAATTTCGGATCTCCGAAGTTTGGTACGGTTCTGGAGATTTATCAATCTCCGAACCATACCAACTCACGCTCACCCTTAGTATATACATATTTCAACAAAGTGGTACCAGAGCCAAGTTCATTCCCTAATGGCGAACAACCTACAATCCTTTCAAGTCCCGATTCTCAACAAGATCAACTTCGATAATTGAGTATTAAAATGAAGGCTCTACTAGGAGCACATGATATGTCGGAGATTGAAGAGAACGGGTACGAGGAACCGCCGGATGAAGAAACACTATCCCAACAACAAAAGGATAGGCTAAAGGATTCAAGGAAACCGCCGGATGAAGAAACACTATCCCAACAACAAAAGGATAGGCTAAAGGATTCAAGGAAGAGTAATAAGAAGGCTCTCTTCCTTATCTACCAAGCATTGGGAGATGACGATTTCGAGAAGATCTCGAGCGCATCCACCGCCAAAGAAGCTTGGAATAAGTTACAAGTCTCGTGCAAAAGGCGTCGAGCAAGTAAAGAAGGTATGTCTCCAAACTTTACGAGGTGAATTTGAATCCCTTAATATGAAAGGATTCGAATCTTTATCGGATTATTTTACTAGACTATTTGCAGTATCAAATCATATGAAAAGAAATGGTGAAAAGTTAGAGGATGTTAAAATAATGATGGAGAAAATATTGCGCTTGTAGACATCAAAATTTTGATATTTTATTAATTAATGTCTTTACTTATTTTGGGATATAAATCCAAGATAAATAAGATATTTAATTAATAAAGTAATTATTTCTTGCCCACCAAGTTAAATTTTAGGATAAGGAAATAGATTATATCAAATCTTAGGAGAAGGAAAAAGATTGTGTCAAATCATTAAGGATCAAATTAAAGTCTGCTCCTATAAGACTCTCTCTTCTACACCTATAAATAGGGTTCTCCTCAATGCCACAAATCACACCTAAAAAAATATCAAACACATCTAAAAAATCAAAGTCTCAAATTCAAGAGTTTTCAAGAACCCTCTTGAAGATTTAAAGAAGTTTTTGAAGAACCGCCCGAAGTCCGTTCAATGAAGAAGAAGGCCAAGAAGAAGAAAAGAGGCGACGGCTCTTCCCCAAGAAGTAAAGAGACGACTTCAACTCCTCTCAAATCAATCTAAGAATATCAACGACGTTCAAGCGACATTCAAGGCACGTTCGTTGAGAAGTTCAACCAACATAGCGTTTGATCCGGTAAAAAACTATCAAACCCTCGAGTCAACGTTATACAAGTTAAAACGATTTTCAAGAAGATCAAATAATCAAGTCTTCCAAGAAGTCTTCTTCAATCAAGTCAAAGCCTAACATTTAATACGGGAATAAGTCATTCGACCCCCAAATTAATGTTAGAGAAATTCAAGATCAAACCCGAAGGAGATTCAATCATCAAATCCATCTTTCAAGATCTCAAACTCAAATTCATAAATAGAGATTGTACTCGCAATATCGTTTGGTCGAAATAAATCAAGTTGTACAAAAGTTTTATGTTTCCCATAAAATTTATTGTTACAAATTTGGCACGCCCGGTGGGGTATTCTCTACCTCTCATTTCTTCTCTGCAAATCAAGTTTGAAGATCTTTGAAGATGTATGAAGACCTCTTTGAAAAATGTACATGGGGGCAACAAAGAATGATGTCTTACCAAGCCATGAAGCATGGGGCCAATTCACATGAAGAGCTCCATCAAATATTTAAATGCTCATTGATCTGAGCCTAAACTATCTACAAATAAAAATGCTCCTTGATACGAGCCTAAACTATCTACAAATTCAAATGCTCCTTGCTTAAACTATCTACAATGCTCATTTATACGAGCTTAAACTATCTATAAAGCTCATCGATATGAGCCAAAACTATCCAAATATCCAATTCATATGCTCCTTGATACGAGCTTAAACTATCTATAAAGCTCCTCGATATGAGCCAAAACTATCCAAATATCCAATTCATATGCTCCTTGATAAGAGTTTAAACTATCTATATGGCTCATTGACACGAGCATAAAATGTCTTCATATCAAGATCTCCTTGACACGAGAATAAAAGGTCTATATATCAAATTTGAAGGCTCTTTGACATGAGCATAAAATGTCTACAAATTCGAAGGCTCCTTGATACGAGCATAAAAGGTCTATATATCAAAATCTCCTTGACACGAGAATAAAAGGTCTACATATCAAGAACTCCTTGATACGAGTATAAATTATCTACAAATCAAGTCAAATGAAGAACTTCTTGATACGAGTTTAAACTATCTACAAATTCAAGTAAAAAACTCTTAGATAAGAGTTTAAACTATCTGCATGTCCAAACCAAATTCAAAATTTTGAGACTCATTCACTACCAAGACATTTTGCCCGTGAACAAGTCTCAAGGGGGCATTTGTAGACATCGAAATTTTGATATTTTATTAATTAATGTCTTTATTTATTTTGGGATATAAATCCAAGATAAATAAGATATTTAATTAATAAAGTAATTATTTCTTGCCCACCAAGTCAAATCTTAGGATAAGGAAAGAGATTATATCAAATTTTAGGAAAATGAAAGAGATTATGTCAAATCATTAAGGGCCAATCAAATTAAAGTCTTCTTCTCCAAGACTCTCTCTCCTACACCTATAAATATGGCTCTCCTCAATGCCACAAATCACACCTAAAAAAAATATCAAACATATCTAAAAAATCAAAGTCTCAAATTTAAGAGTTTTCAAGAACCCTCTTGAAGATTTGAAGAAGTTTTTTAAGAACCGCCCGAAGTCCGTTCAATGAATAAGAGGGCCAAGAAGAAGAAAAGAGGCGACGGCTTTTCCCCAAGAAGTAAAGAGACGACTTCAACTCCTCTCAAATCAATCCAAGAATATCAACGACGTTCAAGTGACATTCAAGGCGCGTTCGTTGAGAAGTTCAACCAACATAGCGTTTGATCTGGAAAAAAAAACTATCAAGCCCTCGAGTTAACATTATACAAATCAAAACGCTTTTCAAGAAGATCAAATAATCAAGTCTTCCAAGAAGTCTTCTTCAATCAAGTCAAAGTCTAACATTTAATACGGGAATAAGTCATTCGACCCCCAAATTAATGTTAGAGAAATTCAAGATCAAGAAGGAGATTCAATCATCAAATTCATCTTTCAAGATCTCAAACCCAAATCCATGAAGAGAAGAATCAGAGGAGATAAATAGAGATTGTACTCGCAATATCGTTTGATCGAAATCAATCAAGTTGTACAAAAGTTTTATGTTTCCCGTAAAATTTATTGTTACAGCGGTCATTAACTCCAAAATTTGAGCATATTGTTATAACAATTTAAGAAACAAAAAACTTGGATGAGATGCCGATAGATATGTTAATGGGCTCATTACAAGCTTACGAAGAAAAACATAAACAAAAGGCAAAATATTGTAGAACAATTATGTAAAATGCAAGTGAGCTCGAAAGAAAAGGATAAAGGGCCGCGCAACACCCGTGGAGAATATTGGAGAGGTCGTGGCCAAGGACAAGGTCGAGGCCGAGGATGCGGACGAGGTGGCTATACCAATTATGAAAAGAAAGAGTACGGTCGAGGAAGGAGTAATCAAAAATTGAGGTACGATAAGTCTTCCTCAAAATGTTATAATTGTTATAAATTTGGACATTTTGCTTCTGAGTGCAGAAGCCAAAGGCTTAACATTGAAGAGAAGGCGAATTTCGTCGAGAGAAAAAATGAAGCCAAAGCAAGTTTGGGTGCCAAGAAATTGCAAAACATTGTAGTAACTTTGTTTCACACATTTTTTAGCAAACAATATTACTACTAGGTCTAAGGGTTAAACAGTTGTACTTTCTCAACAAATATACATAACTAGTACAATGCCCGCGTATATATACAGGGGTGCTTGCTAATTTTTTTTCTTAAAATTTAAAATTAATGTGAAAAAATAGTTGAAATTTTAAATGGTCCTTATATATATATATATATATATATATATATTATATACTTAGTATAACAATTTGTGCGACTTACCTATGTTATATTATAATAATTATTTAACTTACAACATATAACTACATTAAACATAAATATATCCATTGAGAAATAATTTTATTTTTCTCATGAATTTTAATAAATACTATTACTTTTTATTATTATAATAATAAATATAATTTATTTATTTTATATATACAATATGGATATCAAATCAAAAATCATCAAAAGATGATTAATTTGATATATTATATATGTAAAATTGATATGAAATACAAAAGTTATCAACTTTTAAAATAAATTTACAATTCAATAGCTAATTGAAGGAAACCAATCAAAAGTCAGGGATATATTAGTCACATAGTGTCTCACTATGTAAAATTACAAAGAATTAAATGGTTATATTAGTATAAGTGATATTAAAATAACTAAGTTAGCTAAATAATATTTATAGAACGTGTGAACCTAGATTATTAATTATTAATATATCAATATTATTTGTCCAAACTTAGTTGGATTAGTTTTATAACTGTTAGTTTATGCATGTGTAGGTTCTATCTATTAGTTTCTTATTTGTGTAATTATTTGGTGGTTAAGTAGCGCCCGTTGATAATCAAAGTTTTAAATTGAGATTTTGTGAAAAATTCACTCTGATTTTTATAAATAAATTCGGTAAATTCCTTAAAATAAAATGGGGCGTTACAACTTGAATCTAAAATAGACTTAAAGGTAGACCGAGTCTCTTTTTCTTACTGCCACATCAGCAAGACCCAGTCTACTTTTATTTGCATCGGAGAATATATTTTCTTTTACATTGGGTCTATTTCTTAGGCGATATATAATTTTTTGTGATTGAAGTCAAAGCATTGTCTATGTTATAAGGATACATGAAATCATGAATAATGTACAAAGTTTTACTTACAAAGAAAAGTATAATATTTCGTAACATAAATCTATATTTTTATTCAAAAGGGACAATTAGACAACATTAATCAACATTGAGGTTAATTAATACTCTTTGAAATCCATAACTTTTAATTTTGTTGTATAACCATAAACCATTTTGAACTATTCCAATTTGTCAAGCTCCTTAGAATTTAATTCTTGGTAAACTATTGAAAGGAACCTGCATATTATTATTATTATCCATCTCTCCCCCTCACTAAAGAACATGCAGGTGGGCCTTTGGATGGAACAAATAATATATATTTTTTTTTTAATAATATCAATATTGCAAAAGTCAATTGTTATAGTCATAACTTATGCCTTTTTGACAGTAGCTTTATACTATTTCAATATTTTTTCTACTTGCAATGGAATCTAACCTTTCTATTTACATAGCACTTTATTCTGTATAAAAATGGAAACTTACCTCTTTTAATGAATGTTTAATTTAATAATATGCAAATGGGACTATAATAAAGGGTATTTATAAATTATGCATGTCAACATAATATATGCCTTTGGGTGCCAAGAAAAAGATTGCAAAACAACCTTTGTTTCACACAATCTTTTAGCAAACAATATTGCTACTAGGTCTGACGGTTAAACAGTTGTACTTTCTCAACAAATATACATAATTTCAAGTTTAAAATATCGTTCTAAAAAATAGCATAAAGTATAACATTTCATGACATAAGTATACATTTTTCCTTTAAAAAAATGTCGGATTTGATCCATCTAATGGTTAGACACAACTATAATGCTAATTCACAACTAAAATGAGCACACAACCAAACCAATTTTGCCAAGGAACCAGATGGTTGGTTTCCTTATGGAACCAACCACCAATTGGACAGCTCCACATGGGGCTGTCCCACATGAAGTCATGTGGGACAGCCCCATGTGGAGCTGTCCTATTGGTGGTTGGTTCCATAAGGAAACCAACCATCTGGTTTTATAGAATAACTGCACGACAAACTATGTCAAACAGTTCTCGATCATTGATTTAGTAAATAAAATTAGAAAGGCTTCATAATAAATACAGAAATTCATCATCATGCCACAATTTCAGAACATCCCACAAACTCCAGCTACAGAAAAACACACACAACAAATCCATAACCTGATTAGGGTAGTCAGACACGAAAGTATCGATTCAGCCCGACAAGTAACGATTCATAAACGCACGAAAACGAAGCCAAGCCAAATTGGCCGCTTCAAGATTTTCATCGTTTATTCCCATCTTTTTCCTTCTCTCAACGCCTTCACTCGAGCAGTTCATAAAGGCGTGTCCAACTCCTTTATAGATGTGCACCTCATTGAAATCAGTTGGGGGAAAGTTACGTTCTAGAGCTTTCGCAGTCTGGATATAAAATTACGAACCAAACAAAAAAAAGAAAATCAAGATAATTGCCCATATATTTTGGTTGACGTATATTAGTAGCTTTTCAGAAGTACAACATAACAGATATGATATATGATTCGAGACGCGATTTGGTGGAGGCTCGATTGTTCCATAAAGCCCAATGTTGACATAAAGCAAGAATAAACAGTCAAATTGGAGCTCCCATGAGCTGTTAGGAAATCATTTTGACCTTTTAGAGGTTTTTTAAATATGCAAGGTCCCGTTCGTAACACGTGGAAGGCACACAACTCCTTTGCAAAAGAATAACAAGTCCGCACAAGAAACTATGTTAATTTATTCAGCAATCATTCGTATTCATTTGGGAGTTCTAAAGACTTTAAAACTTTAGAAATCTTGATGTATTTAATTTAATTGGACTTTTATAATACTTTTAAAGACTTTTAAAAGTCTCCGGGTATTCGTTTGAGATTTTAAAAAGTCTTACAAAATTCTAAGGTATTTAACTTATTTGAGACTATGATATGTTAAGACTTTTTACGATTTGTTGGGATTTCAAAAGAAATAAATAACCTTACACGAGATCCCACTTCAAGTCCCAACTCCAAACTCAATATTTCATACTATTTTTCCAAAATATGAAAATCTTAAAAAGTCTCAAAATGTCACTCAAAATCCCAAACGAATATATCCCCCTTAGAAATCTATAGTTATTTGCTTTTAGATTACACAAATCAAGAAAAACTCAAGCACAATATCTCGAAACCGTTTGATTTAAGATCGATCTGAAATATAAATTAGATGGATCAGCAAAGAGAGCCACAAAGAAAGACAAGAAGTACCGGATATATATACTGAACAAACCTCAACATCTGAGAACCCAGCAAAGGTATCCAGTTCACCAAAGTGAGCCTGCACTGGCGCTTTAGATTTGCTGACATCAGCAAACTCTTTTGAAGGAACTCCATAGAAAGATACCACAGCATCAACCCCAGGGACCAATACAGAGCTTGCAATAGCAAGAGCACCACCCATACAGAAGCCAGTAACACCAACCTATAACAAATTTTATTAGTAAACTAAGCAGGAATAAACAAGCGTGTGGAGTCATATCGCTTAAAAAATGTTCTAAGTAGAATATAATGGACTGGCCAAGGTTAGAATAGATCTCTTTGAGGGTCCTCACAATGTAAAGGAGCTCAAGTACAGCAACTTTAATGGAACAGGTGGCATGTTGTTTGCATCAATATCCGCTCAAAACGGTTTTTTTTTTT